ATACTTACCTAGGTGGATGCAGCTTCGAACCAATGTTACATCAGTCCCCCCGCCAAATCTAAGGCTGAGAACTGAGTGATTAAACACTACTGACCGCTCAGTTCTCCCACCGCTCTGTCTCGGTCTCATGACCCTCAGTCTCTGGTTCTCTGCTCTACCACCACAGCACTCACTGGAGCACCGGGCAGTAGAGGTGGCGGGAGCAGCTGGCCCAAGCTCTCAGCAGATCGCCAAGTCTGAGCCAGATGACAGTCCAGGTTTTTGGGTGGATCCCGACCATATGGTCGCAATCTTTCCCCAGCCTGGACCAGATCTGTGATGTCAGCTGACAGCCTCCTTCCTTCATGAATCCCCCCCCATTTTCTTGTCCTCTTTTTTTCCCCTCTCATGAAGTGAAAATAAAAATTAGATGGAGATCACACTTTATGGCTACTCCACTATTAGTCATGGCGTTTTCTTCCATCAGGATTTGATTCAGACGTACCTCTATTACACTGTAAGAAAATCTGCCTTACTTATCAGTATGTTCATGCAGTTTTTATTTAATACTGGAAACCTTCATGCAACTTAAAACAAATCATCCTTCATGCTGTTACCTCCTATGATCCATTTGTCAGTTGGACCTCATGTCTGTACCATCTTGTTTTGTTCATAACTAAAATGTTATCATTTTTATTTTTTTTTGTTTAGTCATGTACCCAACCTACATATTTTGTATATAACTAAAATGTTATAATAAATTACTAAAAAGAAAAAGCTGTACTATGGCACATGTTAAATCAGTAAGTTATTTTTACAGTGGTACTATTCACACTAGCTCAAATAGCATGCTGCAGTTTTGATGCACTTAATAGGCCCAGGTTATATAGAAGTGGATGGAAGCATAAGCAACATTATAACTTAATCAGTTTGGCAGACATTGGTAAAAATGTATTTATTTTTCCAGGGTTAATCGCTCCAACACATGTCATAACTATATATAAAAACATGTCATAAGCACTTAGCACTGTCATAATATGCACAAATACATTATTATTATCATACAGGATTTATTTAGTGCCAATAGTTTGCTCAGCGCTTTACAATATAAATACATGAATATTCATATAAAATGTTACATTAAAAAGTACACCTAAAGTAGTTACTAATTCTTAGATGTGATGACTGCATTTTGTTCTGTTTTTAGGCTTTCTTTCTTTTATTTTCACCTGGTGATCCTTTCAGTAATTCTGCTGTTATTCAAAAGAACAAACTGTCCTGCAGATGTAGCAGTTGACACAAACCATTGATCACTGACAGGGATGCTTACAATGATCAGCTTTTACTTATTTATGTAAAACCTTTATCCCAAAGAGAAAAAAAAAAAAGAAAAAAAATTTTCTTGTAATTGCTTATAAAATGTTAGCTGGAGTTTGGCTTTATTTTTTCACTGTATCTTAGTACATCTAAAACTCCCTTCCCCCTAAACTGACAATGCTATCCAAAGGTGTTCCTGTGCTTCTTCTTCATCCAGAGTGTAGAACCCTAATATAGGAGGTGGGTTGTTGGCTGGATCACCAGGTGAAAACAGAGGGGGGGGGGGGACCTAAAAAAAAACAAAAAATGCAACCACCACAATATATTGATATATATACATCTTTGGTTTGGGTCTAATACTGCTGTTACATGGTATATGCACAATGGTTTTTCAAACTACATTTTTGTGAAAAAATACACTTTAATTAATTTAAAAAATCAAAAACACTCTATATACTCCAATTTGTTTTCTAAAATATGAAAAATGATACGCCATATAAATAGATACCTAACATGTCATGCTTTAAAACTGCACACACTTGTGGAATGAAGCCAAACTATGGTAATTAAAAAAATCTCCATAGGCAACACTTTAAAAATTTCTACAGGTTACCAGTTTAGAGTTACAGAGGAGTTCTAGTGCTAGAATGATTGCTCTCCTGACGTTCACAGTGAAGTGCAGCGCTTTAAAAAATAAATATATATATATATTTTTTTACACTGTCCCTTTAAAAATGTTTGATAACTTTTATTGCGATTGCAAGCAATGTAAACTTCCCTTGCAATAACAATAGAGCGTGATAGGTCCTTTTTATGGAGAGATCCGGGGTCTTTAAAGACACAACATCTCTCCTCTACAATGGAAAACATTTAAGAAAAAATATCTAAAGCTTTAAAAAAAATAAAAAACAATGTTTACATTTGGCCAGAACCAGAAGTGATATTATGATGTTGCTCTGGTCCTCCTAGACCGGGTGTCGGCAACCCGTGGCTCCAGAGCCGCATGCGGCTCTTTTTCATCTTTGCTGCGGCTCCGGAGCACACTGCCCACCAGGTGGTCGGCAAGCCGCAGATCGCGAGCCACATGCGGCTCTTCTGTGTGCCGGGCGCCCGCTCCCCCCCTCCCTCCTCAAAAATCCGGCCCGCGGAGCGTGGAACATTGGCTGTCAGGATGTAGGTGGGCAGCCAGGATGTAGGCGGGGCAGAGTGACGAACTCCCTCAGTCAGTCCGCCCTGAAGACCAGAACGGCGCGGGAACACAGCGAGAGGAACGCGCGGAGCAAAGGTAAGTGAATTGAGACAATATGGGGGATGAATTACTGTGTGGGGGATGAATTACTGTGTGGGGGATGAATTACTATGTGGGGGATGAATTACTATGTGGGGGATGAATTACTATGGGGGAAGAATTACTATATGGGGGAAGAATTACTATATGGGGGATGAATTACTATATGGGGGATGAATTACTATGGGGATGAATTACTATGTGGGGGATGAATTACTATGTGGGGGATGAATTACTATATGGGGGATGAATTACTATATGGGGATGAATTACTATATGGGGGATGAATTACTATATGGGGGATGAATTACTATATGGGGGATGAATTACTATATGGGGGATGAATTACTATATGGGGGATGAATTACTATGGGGGAATGAATTACTATGGGGGAAGAATTACTATATGGGGGATGAATTACTATGGGGGAAGAATTACTATATGGGGGATGAATTACTATATGGGGGATGAATTACTATGGGGGATGAATTACTATGTGGGGGATGAATTACTATGGGGGATGAATTACTATATGGGGGATGAATTACTATATGGGGGATGAATTACTATGGGGGATGAATTACTATATGGGGGATGTATTTTCAGTTTTAAAAATGTGGCTGTCAAAATAAATTTCAATCGTGGTTTTGGCGAGATTTGGCTCAGTTGAAAAAAAAAAAGGTTGCCCACCACTGACCTAAGGCTAATTGTGATTATGAAGATACACTGTGGCCCTGATTAACCCTTTGCTTACTGGGCCCTTAAACCCCCTTCATGACCAGAGTGCTTTTTGCAATATATGCAGTGTCGGATTTGTTATAAATGTTGCAATGGTTTTGCGGCTCCCAGTCTTTTTTTTCCCTTCAGAAACGGGTCCAAGTGGCTCTTTATGTCTTAAAGGTTGCAGACCCCTGTCCTAGACCATACAAATAGCGGTAGTAATCTTTCCTCTGCTCACCTCTGTGACCAGCCACTGCCAGAGCCAGATTGGTTCTCGGGCTCACCGATCAATCAGGTAAGCCCAGGAACCACCAGAAAGCAGCAATGATCCAGCGCTGAATCCACTGCTCATCAGTTTTATCAGAAAGACTGGCGTCCGAGGAAACATTTAATACCCAACACCTAGCTGCAGCCATAATCCCGATATTAAATGTCAAAATCATGACGTATTTTCCCAGTTACACAGTTGACAAGTGGTTAAAGTAGAAGTTATTACTCCTTTCCAGTTTTCTTTTTTTGCCATCTGTGTCCCATTGGTCAGATTTCCCCTCACTTCCTGTCCCGCAGACAAAACAGGAATTTGAGGGGAACACCAAAGTGAGAGGAGTCCCCAGTTGTCATCAGAACTAGTGTCCCTGTTGGAAGATTTTCCCCTCCATTACTGTTCTGACAACAACTCAAAATCTGTGATTTTCATTTACTTCCACTTTCAGTGATAACAGTAAACATGACAAATAGAGTGTGAATCCCCCCAATGGAGGCACGGCAGCAATTAAAAAATAAATAAATTACTCTCCACTCCGTACAGAACTAAAAAGTCTTGCCTTTAGTTATGCTTCACACTGCACGTTTTAAGTCTTTATTTTCCACAAGGAAGAAGTCAGGTACCACAGATAACACAGTATGTAATCATTACACTGGGTAGTAGCATGTATTTGAAATGCTAATGCTTTCTGACAAACATAAGTCTCCATGCACACGGGGCATTTTAATAACGGTGGTAACGTTAGCTGTGTAAAGTCATGCTAAAAAGTTAGTGTTTTAGCATTTTAAAACGCTTTTGCATTAGCATTTTACAGTGTTCGCGCGGTTTGTTTGTTTTTTTTTCCAGCCAAAAAATGCCCCTGCCAAAAAGCGCTGATTACAGTCTATGTGTGCATGGACAGATAGGATAACATGCTGGAGGTTTACGGTCTGTAGAAAAAAAAAACGTTTTTTGATTTGAAAGCCAAAAATAGCCGCTGTAAAAACGTCCAGTGTGTATGAGGACTAATAAAAACACTATAATGTTTGCCAGTATGAGACCTGTACAGAAATACATGGCATGGGGGGACTGCACACATCTCTAAGTGTATAAAAGTCATGATATAAATACGCTGCCATCACTGTACTCCTGGTTTTTTATATGTTCAATTACCCAAAACAAAGTAACTAAGTAAATGAGAACTCTGCATTCACAAATAGTAAGGAAAGCCTAGAAGTCTATCAAGCCTTGCCATAATATACACCAAATCTGTTTTTGGTAGATGTTTCTAAAAAGGGGAGGCCCAATGTGATTGTTGTGCAGCCATACATTACTAAATAATTCTTTTTGTTCTACTTTTGGAATCCAAGCCTGAATAAGGCCAGCCAGATTAAATGAAAGCTCTTATATTCATCAACAATACTATATTTTTTGGAAATATTAGTACTCACCGGTGCTACAATTTTTCCTGTCTGCCCCACCTGCATATCATTGGGGACAAATCCAGCATCTACAGCAGCACGGGAGGCACCCACTGCAAATGAGAAGATGGTTGACATAAATAATACAGTTTTCTTCTCACTTATAAAATGGCCCTGTAGTACCAACTGTTCATTCGTGCTTTGCATATATATTCACACCACCCTAGAATTTAATATACTGTATAGTGTTAGAGCTTGGAAATAAAATAGATTTAAGGTATTTGCAATGTATGTTATTTGTTATTCATGTAACCTAACAATTATGTAAATTGGGGTTTTCTGTCACATACAAGAATTATATGATCACAATGACAAAAAAAATAACTACACGATTTCAAATTGAAAACCAAAAAGTCTTGATTTCTCAGATATTTACCCCCTCTGTAAGGTTTCTTGCACACTACTGCCTAAAAATGCAGCGTTTTTAGGTATACAGGTGTTTTGTTTTTTTTAATGATGTAAATGCAGACCATTGTTTTCAATGTGCCTATACACACAGGAGTATAAACATACATTGCATATAGATCAGTTAAGAAAAAAAAAATACATAAAATCGGAGTTGCTGGTCAGCATTTTTATGCAAATACACACATACATCACTCCCTTGATTAAAATAAAGCTAGCAGAATTTTCACACTTGTATAGGCATACACGCAAATACATCTATACATCTCATTCTTGCATTTCTTTTCCCCAGGAATGTCCGGTGGCCATACATCAGTACAGTGTGCAAATACCCTAATGAAAGGTTTGCTGCAGCCTATTACTTTTAGCAGTTACAAAGCTTGATGAATGAGATACACCAATGTGCAATTAGTGTAACATGATCTCCAAATAATTGCACATACTTCTGGACACCTAGAGAATTTACCAGAACAGAATCCTGAAAACCAGCCAGCAAAACAATTTTATGGTTAGGTTCTAGAAATGCACCAAGTAGAATGTCATTAACCACATGCCGCCCAGCCACTGTATAAATACGGCAGCAGGGTGGCACGGCTGGGCAAAAGCACGTTTTAAAACGTGTGTTTTGTGAACAGGTAGGGGGCGCGCGCGAGGCGCGCCGCCGCCCTACCTGTCCCGCCGATCACAGCCACGGATGTCAGTTGCCGGGTCACAGCCGGTCGTTACCGGCTATGTCCCGGCGATCGGCGGCAATCGCTGACAGAGAGCACAGCTGCAGTAGCTGTGCTTTCTGTCAGTTCCCTAACAGCTCCAGGACACGCTGATCGGGACAGAAGAGTTTCTCTCTCTCGATCAGAGGTGTTCCCTGCAGTACACACCCCCCGCACCCTAGTAAAACACTCCCCTCCCACAGTTAACCCTTTCCCTGAAAAATAAACTTAACCCTTTCCTCCCCAGTGCCATTAGTACAGTGTCAGTGTTTTTTTTTTTTTGCACTGATCACTGTAGTGGTGTTACTGGGGATGTCAGTGACCCCAAGTCAGTACCCCCCAATGTCAGAATGTCCGCCGCAGTCCCGCCATAAGTCGTTGATCGCCGCCATTATTAGTATTAAAAAAAAACTAAAAATCCCAGTATCTTTCCCGCCATTTGTAAATGCTATAACTTTCACGTAAACCAATTAATTTACACGTATTGGGTTTTTTTTTTAGCAAAGACATGTCGCAGAATGCATTTTGGCAGAAATTTATGACTAAATTTGATTTTAAAATTTTTTTTTTACTGGACATGTTTTATAGCAAAAAGTCCAAAATATAGTTTTTTTTCCTCAAAATTGTCAGCCTTTTTTTTTATAGCGCAAAAAATAAAAACCGCACAGGCGATCAAATACCACCGAAAGAAAGCTCAATTTGTGGGGGAAAAAAAAAAGGATGTAAATTTCATTTATGTACCATATTGCATGACCGCGCAGTTGTCCGTTAAACTAGCGCAGTATAGCAAAAAAATGGCGTAAATTGCCGTATATATACACCATAGTTTGTAGACGTTATAACTTTTACACAAAGCAATCAATATACACTTATTGGGATTTTGTTTACCAAAAAACATGTAGCAGAATACATTTTGGCCTAAATTTTTAACCAACTTTGAGTATACTGTATATTTTTTATAGCTGAAAGTAAAAAATATTGTTTTTCTTCAAAATTTTTGGCTTTTTTTGTTTCTAGCGTGAAAAATAAAAAGCGCACAGGTGATCAAATACCACCGAAAGAAAGCTCTATTTGTGTGAAAAAAAGTACGTAAATTTCACTTGGGTGCAGCATTGCATGACCGCGCAATTATCAGTTGAATTAGTGCAGCGCCGAGTAGCAAAAAGAGGCCTGGTCATTAAGGGGGGTAAATCCTCTGGAGGTCAAGTGGCTAAAGAAATAAACTTGGAACATCCACTATTATCAAAGCAGACCTTTACCCAAAAATCAAAGTGCCACTTATCCTCTCCCTACCCCCAGCTCCTAAATAATTTGCATATCATGCAATTAGACTTATGGAAGAAAGTCAGCATTTAAAAGATTTGCAAAAAATTTAGGATCCAGATGTGCAAAACTGCTATGGGTATACTCCAAAATACTTGCAGCAGTAACTGAAGCTAAAAAACATACCAAATACTGACTGAACAATTTTGTATAATATTTTTAAGGTATGCAAAAGTGCAAAAAGACCAGCAGAGAAGGAGCTGGAAACCTGCATATGCCTTCATTTGTGATCCAAGATTTAAAAAGGTTTCAAGACAGAGCAGAAATTTTTGAATATTCTCCCCCTTCCCTTGTAAGCAGATGTACTATGTGTAAATATAAACTGTACATTACCCGCAGCGTGCAGCTGATCTGCTAGATCATACAACAACTTGAAGTTATCGCCACTCTTTAACCCTCGACCTGTGATGCAAAAACAGACAATACAAATGTGAGATGCAGTCATTTTTTACACTTCACAATAACAGGTTTATAACCGAATTATACATTTTTATAGAAATGTAAAAAATTGTTTTCGACCCAGCACTGTATAGGGAGCTTCCACTGCAAACTTACCTCCAGAGACCACAACTTTAGCACTAGTCAACTCTGGACGGTCACTTTTGGTCAGACTCTGCTGCAGCCACTCAGATTTTCCAGCCGGTGGAGGTGGAGACACTAAAGCAGTAACAATATTTTGTGTTACAAAACAACTTTGGTACCAATGCTTTATATGTCCATTTTCTTGTTTTTATCTTCACTTTTTTAGATCGCATGGCCATATGTCCAAAAACACATTATTTAAAAACCCAGGTAAGTGTCATAGAACATATCCTAAACTGTTCTGGGAATCTAGCAAAAAGCATGCCATCTTATTAATATAACTTTAGCCTCAAGCAAACACTCAAGCAGGCATTCCGGTCTGTAAAAGCACCTTTATGTTAGATTATGTGCACACATAGGCATATTTAAAGAGCAGGCAAAAACAAACAAACAAACAAAAAAAAAAAACCAAACCACACAACACCAAAGCCACGCGTTTTAAGAATAGCTTCTGAGCAGAGAAAAACAGGCGTAAATACATATAAATGTGCGTGTATGCAAGTATATGTATTGCAATGGCTAGAATAAATTAATATTCCGGCCAACAGAATGCACTCACATGACATATGTGCATATATATATATATATATATATATATATATATATATATATATATATATATATATATATATAAAATAAATAAATAAATAAAACGAGAGGTGTTTTTTTTTTTCTGCCAAATTGTGGCAGAAAAAATGCTGCTTATTTCCATAAAAAAGCCCATACGCTGACTTTTTTTTTTCTTTTTGTTCAACCAGCGAGTTGAATGAAAGAAAATGATCCGATTCCCCCGAATCCCTTTTGCTGTGCTACTGTATTCTGACAGTGGGGAGCCTTCCCTGCCATCAGAATACAAAGATCAGTGCTGCCGGCTATAGCTATAGCTGGCAGCACTGATCGCTTGGGAAGAACCTGACAGGCTGGTTGTACACAACTTGATTGATAGATCAACTTGGGTACAACCAGCCTGCCCATACATGGATCTTAATTCAGCCAGTCCCTGCTGAATTAAACTGATTAAGCCTGTGTGCATTACGCCTTATAATTTAATTATTACCAATATATGTCATAGTTTAGAAAACAAATAGTCATCATTTCTTACCATTTTCCAGGCTTGCATTTCCTCCTGAACTCTGAGCTGCTTCAAAGGATGTACCCCTGATAGTGAGCACTTTTACAGACTCATCACATTTCACTGTACACAAAGCATTTCCTACAGAAATAATAAAAAATAAAGGACATCAAGGTGAATACTTTGTCTGAAGGGAAACAAAACCTTTACAAACAAGAACAAAATGATCCAAGATGAGAAAGTGCACAGATCTCATTATCTATTGAGTATGCACACTGTATAGAAAGGTATCATTACTGGGATTGCTATGGACACACATGCATTCATTATTATACCTGAATTTAAAGTGGTCATTAATAAAAAGCTGTAAAATACGTGAAAATATTAAACTATACTGAAAAAACTCTAGAAGCTTTTTGCTTACCTGTGTAAGGATCAGCAAGGCACTCTCATTCTGAACAGCGGATGTTTTTACATTACACTCACTGCAATTTCACACAACTACTAAAATAATTTTATATTACTTCCTGATTAGCTTTGCAATGACTAGCATGATCCTTTATTATATAATTATATCATTCTTATTTATATTACATTATAAACCATCCTACCTGCACTTTGTGTTTTATACCTTCATAAGATATGCATTGACCATGTAGTTTCATGGTGTCATTTGTTGCTTGCAGTTACGCACTGTCCATACTAGAGTAAATCTTAAAATTCTTTTGTCAGCAATTTGTTTGTGTTCAAACATAAGGCATGCAACATGGCACTGCACAGGTTAATGCATGACCTCTGACTGTAGTCAATAACTGACAATTCCTGTGAAGGAACTACATATTTGACAATCACTGGGTCTCTCAGGCTAGTGTTCTGTGGGTGAAAGCTAGTAATAAGGTCTGACACAGACACCAGCAAGCACAGCAATTAACAGAGAGATCACTATTTCATCAGATTAGCACTCCTACAATTGTGATGCAACACAGAGGAAATGGTGAGGCAAGGAATGGATGCTATGTGATCCGAAGAAGAGGTTGCCTGTCCCTTTAGCAAATAGTGACAATCTAGGTGAAAGAATAAATGGACATAGTGGAATCAATCAGCTGTGACGCTACAAACTGCAGCCACACATGTGTGCCCATCATTACAAGCTAAGGCAAACAGCACAGAGAATATGATGGAAAAAAAAAAATCTGTGTTGTACTTCCCCTTCACATTTTTAACATATAACAAACAACTTGTGCTCTCATATAAATATCACTAAATAAATTAAAAGACAAAAATATACAATCATGTGAGGAAAAAAAAATGAATAAGCATGTGTTCAGTGAAAAAAACTGCATGCGCAGATCAATACTCTAAAATGTGACAACCCCAGACCACCACCCAGAGACAAAAGCCATTGTACATGAGGAGAGAAACAGCAGACCAGATAGTATAACACTGTATAAAACTGCTGCATTTATTCAGTATAGAAGGTACTCACAAGACAAAAACTGAAACAAGCTCAAAGTCCACTTGCAAGCACCAGGGGACATGATAATGTCAGCAGTGTAGGCTCCACCCAGTTTGTTTCGTCCCTAAGAACGTTGTCAGGGGCTTTTGATTTTGGCAAGAGACTTTTGTCTCAAGGTGGCGGTGTAGTGCATTTGGCATGTTTGAAGTACTGATCTGCACATGCGGTTTTTCATTGGACACATGCTTATTGGAATTTTTCTCTCACATGATTGTAAATTCATTTTATTGTCTCTGAACTATTCATGGTGATGTTAATTTCAGAGCACAAAGTTGTTTGTCTTAGGTTTAAAACTTAAAGGGAAAGCGCAACAGATATTTTTCCATCAAAAATGTTACCTTGTATTCAGGGTATAAGCAAGTGCAGTCTCACCGACACTTATTTATTCAAGGCTTGATACAATTTCTCTGAGCATGGAGTTTCACAATATTTTGGGACACTGGGAATACAACTACACTAATACCTAGTTGGAACAACAAAAACATTTGAAAATGTACAATGCCTTTAAATCAAGTCAAGATAGCCTTGAAGATGAAAATTACAGGGGTTGGGGAAAAAAAAAAAAAAAAAATTGGAAGCCTACACAATTTGCAGTTGTGAAAGGGACAACATGTTTCACGTTGAAAGCGGAAGTGATGTAACAGGCTTTTGCTTCTGCTGTGTGATGAGACACCTAGCTAACAGGTGGGAAGCCTCACTTACGTCATTCACTGTGTGGGCTACTAGTAGTACAGAGTCATGTCAGAGCTTACTGAGCTTCAAAGAGGGCAAATTGTTGGTGTCCACTTAGCTGGTGCCTCTGTGACTGAAGTTGCCAATTTATTTGCCGTGCTGCGAGGTGCAGTTTCAAAGGTTATGACGGCATATACAGTTTCTGGGAAAACGTCTGATAAGCATAAGCACGGTCAACATAGTCAACTGAATGAAAGAGACAAAAAGGACATTGCACAGGATTGTGACCAGGAATAAGAAAGCCACTGCTCTCAGTCTTCACAAGAGTGAGCCACAAAAAATAAGTGGTTCTAATAACATTAGAAAAGCATTTAGGCACCAACTATAGTTGTTATTATTATACAGTATTTATAAAGTGCCAATAGTTCACTCAGCGCTGTACATTACAAAGGGAGACAGAACATGTGACAGAACAATAACAATACAATGCAAAACATGAGGGGATCGAGGGCCCTGCTCTTTTGAGCTTACAATCTAGGAGGGAGGGGATAGTGGCACAGGAGGAGATAGCTGTGGGGGATGGAGTGGTAGGAAGAGTGGAGGTCGTCGGTAAGTTAGCAGGGGGTGGGGCAGGCTTCCCTGAAGAGATGGGTTTTCAGGGTGCACCTAAAGGAGAGGAGAGTAGGTGATAATCTGATGGGTTGGGGCAGGGAGTTCCAGAGGATGGGTGACACCCTGGAGAAGTCCTGGAGGCGGGCATGGGAGGAGGAGACCAGGGAACTAGAGAGAAGGAGGTCTTGTGAGGAGCGGAGTGTGCGTGCTGGGCGGTACTTGGATATTAGGTCAGTGATGTAGTTCGGGGCAGTATGGTGGACAGCTTTGTACGTCAGTGTTAGGATTTTGAATTTGATCCGTTGCACAATCAGAAGCCAGTGGAGGGATTAGCAGAGGGGGGGGTGGCGGAAACGGAGCGGCTGGAAAGGTGAATGAGTCTGGCAGCCGTATTCAGGATCAACTGAAGCGGGGATAGCCAGCGGCGAGGCAGGACAGCGAGGAGGGAGTTGCAGTAGTCGAGTCGTGATATGAGGAGGGAGTGGATGAGCTGTTTAGTGGTTTCTGGGGTTAGGAACGTGCGGATTTTGGCGATGTTGCGGAGGTGGAGTCTGCACGAGTTTGTTAAAGATTGATCTTGGGGCTGGAAGGATAGGTTGGAGTCCAGAACGACACCAAGTACTCTGGCCTGCGGGGCGGGTTTGATGGTGGCGTTGTTGGACGTGATGGAGAAGTCAATGGGGGGGGGGGTACCGGGCTGGGGGGAAGACAAGAAACTCGGTTTTGGAGAGGTTCAGTTTAAGGAAGTGGAGCGACATCCAGTCTGATATGTCGCTCAGTAGGTGTGTGATTCGGGCGGAGACCGAGGGGGTGAGGTGGGGGGTTGAGAGATAGATTTGTGTGTCGTCGGCATAGAGGTGGTAGTTGAAGCCGTGAGAGTGTATGAGTTGGCCAAGGGAGGAGGTGTAGATGGAGAAGAGAAGGGGCCCGAGGACAGTGAGGGACCCCAACAGAGAGGGGGAGTGAGGGGGAGGTGGTAGCATTATAGGTAACGCTGAAAGAGCGTTGTGACAGGTAGGATGAGAGCCAGGAGAGTTACTAGGAACCTTGGTACTCAAGATCTGTGATTTGTACAATACTACTGCAGCTTGACTTCTAGTAACTTTAGGTCTAGGAGGATCACCTGGACATACAAAGCCTCAGAAATACTGTAGAATACATACTCAAGGAATGCTAGAATGTCATAAAGTGAATGGACAAAAGTCTTCATCCTCCCTGTTGCATAGCTGTTCCAATATAGCCGGGATACAGAGAATACTCTGTTTTATACCCATACTATTTGATGTCAAGGGAAATGCCAAATGAAACTGTAATTTATGTTATTTAGCCACACTTTAGGTACCATTATTACACTCCATTTTATGGAAATTCAAAGTGATCTATTTCAAAGGCAGGATAGACAATTTGTAGAACAGTGCCACCATTAATGCCCACAGCATTGTTAAGAGGGAAAAAAGCAAAAGCAGAAGAGAATGCTGTACAGCCACTGGCAACAGCTGTTAACTCCCAGCAGAACTGAAGTCATTTGGAACATTTTCCATGGTTATCTTCATGTTGCCAAAATGTTTGTTCTCCCATTAAATGGCCACATCATATCTGCAGGCCAGCTGCCATGTTGCCTACAGTCTCCACACCATATGGTGCACACATATTTACCACATCTTCTACTGCTGGATCTACAGCTGTTGCTGGTAAACTCCAGAAACTGGCAAAGAGTAACATGTACATAACTCTCTCAGTGCGTATTGCAGTAAAGGTGAACGGACAATAGAAATGACAGTATGGCCTTTATTTTCCAAAATGCACAAGGGGATAAAAAAAAAAAAAAAAAAGACAGAACACACCAAACCAGCTGTTATGAGAAACACCAAACCCTCTGCCTTTCTCTTATTTCATAAGTGTTCAAGCAGTAGGTAGGCAACACTTACAGGCATACGGGGTTAACAACTATAAAAGGTGGCAAGTAAAATGTGAAGAAAAGAAATTAAAAACAATTTAGAAACCTATCTAAGGGAGGAATTGTCCCTGAAAACCGGTGGTGCCCACCACCAGTCAGGACCTTTAGTTTCCTTCTCATATACTACAAGGACTACATAAAATGACCTATAGGTAACCCAGATTGCCTGCGACAGTTCTTACACATTAATACATTGTTACACATTGTAAACAATCACAATCTTCATGACCTGAGAGAGTGTTCTTTTTGCAAATTTGTACACGTTTTATGGGTGTTTTCAAAGTGTTTTTGTTTCAGCCAATAGAAAGATAAATTACTAGGAGGAAGAGAGCCAAAAAATAATGCACAAAATCCATGTAACACGTGTTTTCGGACATATTTCAG